TGACTATGTTGTTGCCCTTGGCAGGACACTAGTCTGGCCCATGCACCAATCCTACAAATCAACTTAAGAACATTTTTTATTCCATATCTCTTAAATTACCTGCTATTAAAATTGCAGTAAGTCATTAATGCCTTGATATAATACACTACCTTCATATTTCCATGTTCTTTCTCTCGTCTCATCTTCTTAAATTTCTAAAACGTGCCTTTGGGGGATTTCATCTGCTCGCACTCCAATAATTTATATGAAAATGGTTCTACTTTAATAAAACTTTATTACTATGTCAGATTGTAATTAATTGGCAGGGGGCACTTTCAGACTAAATGAAGATTTTCACAGTTAATAACTATTGGAAGAAGCAACCATTTTGACTCTGCAATGATATAGTTGTTGGCTCAAGTTCCAGATATGCAGAGGAAAACTATTTTCTGCAATCAAACCTTCAGGCTTCCTCTTTGTATCTTTTTAGCCACAAATGTAATTTAGTTGATGATAAAGTAGTGGACTAGAGAAAAACACCAAGCAGAAGTATTGCATTGCTTCAGATCTGTTGTTTTCAACCTCAGTTCAACCCCATGAGTGAACTTTTTATCCCAACTCCTTCAAACCCAGAAATGTATTCAAGTAGCATAACTACATTTTCCTTACACTGGATTAGGCAAAGAGCATCGGAAACTGTTGGTGAAAAAAGCAAGTACGAAATGACCTCAAGATGGGTACAAATTCACACATGGCTGACAAAATAGATCCAGAACTTTAAAAATAAAAACATCAAAAGGGGTTAAATTACCACCAGTCTTAATGAAATAAAGAATAAATAGGTCCATAGTCCCCAGACAATCTGCTAAGAAACCAAACATAAACCAACAACAATTCAAAATTCTTTTTGCTGCCAAATTATTGAATACACATATGAGCTTAACAACAAAGATATTTATACTTAGGTTATAAAACCATACAACAAATGCAAAGTGTTATTATAGACATTCAGTTTTCAAGTGAACTTCTGAGAATTCATGTAACTTTTTGAAAAAACATTTTCTTAGAAATGTGGACTGTAGACTGTATACATTAGTGTTAAGAATGTCTCTTCTGCTGCAACACACTTAGCATTGAGATGCTATTTTAGGCTAGAATAGCGTCAGCAGTAGGCTAACTCCTTTTAGTACAACTTGCACGCAAAACCGTCTTTCCCGGCGTCCAGATTGAAAAATTGACCTCCTGTCAGCCAAGAGTGTTGTGATCGGTGTTTTATGTGTATTTATTTTGAGATTTTTCTGTGTTTTAGTCTGTTCCCCTGTGAGTCTCAGTGTCTTCCCTGTTTGTTTCCAGCTGTGTCTCGTTTCTTTGATTACCCTCCCAGTGTATTTAGTCCCACCTGTTGTCTTTGTCTCTTGTCGGATCGTCGTTGTGTGTGCATCTCTGTCTTCCCTGTTGCTCCCTGTGCAACCTATTTGGATTCTGTTCTTTTGGATTATTTCATCATTAAAACCATTATTCATCACTTCAACCTGGGTCTGCCTACGTCCTGCTTCTCACCTCACCAAACCACATTACAAATCATGACAAAGAGTAGCAGTTTTGTCGTCCATTGCTATTGTTTGCTATATTTGACGGTTGTGCATCAGATTTCCTCGCGCATCAGAAACGTGCAAATGCAAAAGTTCCATTTTGAACTTTTACAGTTAAAAAAAATTGCTATGAATTGAATTAAAGATTTTAAGAAATTAAAATGGATTTAATTAATTAAAATGTACAGGTTCAAGTCCTGGTCCTACAAAAAGCAGGTTATTTCTTCCCTCCTCTCTTTAAAAAAATAAAATACATACATATCTGAAAGAGTTTGCTTGTTGTAGACATGGAGTCTACAGAAAGTGTTAACAGATAATTACTCCAAACCGCTCAAATATTTGTAACGTTGAAGCTAAAGTATCTTTTAAATCTCTTCAATGAGAGCTGAACATAGTCTGTCCTGTTGCCCGTTTCCTAGTTAGCTATAATAAGCCATATTATTAAATGACAAGTCAAAACAACAAAAGCAGATGGAGACTTCCCACACCACCTCCTAGACTGTTTGAGGTCTCTGGGACCTGCTGTTTGAAAATCCGGCCTAAGTCTGTTTCGGGAGTGAGTGTAGGCTCATCTTCAAAGGTAATCTGAGTCACAGTTCAGGTTCTGCCTGTCATCAACACAGTCCAGACAGCTTGAGCTAAATGTCCATCAGGAGCTATCCCTGTCATTCTAGCCCTGATCACCAGTGAGAGACCCAATGTCCGCCCTGCCATCTTGTCTCTTTCATAGAGTGACAGCAGCTTTATGTCCAAACTCAAAGATCTGCGAACAACTTCAAAACAGCCCCTCTGAGCCAAGAACGTATCAAATTAACCAGATTCATGGCTGAAAAACTCATTTGCCACAAGTCATTACCCGAGCTAACAAGAACCTTTTAGACCTCAGGAAATCATTATGGAGTTGGCAAAAAGAGAACAATGAAATCAACTCTAAGAATAATGTAATTACAGTTGCCTCAAATTAAATGTTGATTTGTTTCCTCTTATTCCCAGTGGTAAGCGGAGTGCAATTTCCTAATACAAATGATGTTTACAAACAAATTATAAAATTTCATAATGTTGAGTGGAAATCCAGGTTTTTTGACTGCAGCAGGATCTGGACCTACTTTGCCCAGCCAAAGACAAGGCATAAATAAAATAAAAAAAAAAAAAAAAGAAAAGAAAAAAGATACGACGTCACGACTCACATGCTACTTCCAGGGATGCATTACGGCTGACGGCTTCTCCCAGGTAGTTCCGGGCCACACAGACATAGGCTCCCTCGTCGGGTTTGCTCCGTCGTCCGTGAACAATGCGCAGGAAGAAAAGCGACCCGGTCGGAAGCAGCATGCGGTGCGAACGTGGGTCATCTTTGTCCGTTTCCACCCGCTCCCCGTCCTTGTACCACTCCACTGTCGGGGTGGGTCGCCCCTCCGCTTTACAGTTGAGAGTGGCAGGCTCCCCTTTGGATACGATCAGGTCAGAGGGGTGCTCCACAATCCGGGGCGGGGAGTCCTCCTGGCGCAGACGGGATCCTGAGGGTAAAGACACAGAACAGTGCAATTAATAACAGAAGAGAGACTATTTTTATGTTAAAAAAATTAAAAACATATGGCTTATTAAATCCATTTTCAAACATAAACTGTCAACAATGTAAACAGAAATTGTTAGTAATAAAACAGAACTCAGAAAACAAAAAAAATAATTAACTCAAGATTAGTACAGATATTTCTATTTGCTAAAAGAGTGAGTTGCGCTCACAAAATGAGAACTGAAGTACATTTATTGTTACCGCCATATGCACAGTTGATTAAAATGTTTCACATTTCAAAAGAACGGCAATATAAGCGACATGTATCTTCCAAAACATCTATCACAAACTTGGACAGTTTGCTGCTAATGAAATTAAAGTTAGCTTAGAGGCTTCAAAGTTAGTATTCTTGATAAACAGACTTGTTGTGCACAACACTCTCACATCCATCAATGAGCTATTAACAAATGCTAAGTGCTATTAGCAACTGTAGAAGGAGATGGTGAGGGACCACCAACAAAGTGACAAAAAGTGTCAAAAGTGTGGAATGAAAAGAAATAGAAGTAGAAAGAAAGTTCACATCCTCAATATTCCAACACTCCATCATCTGGAAACATCTAGTAGATGCATCAAGATCGCTTGTGGCTGCTAACGGGATGTTTTTGTCCCCTTTCCAAAAGGTTGACTTTTATCTTATTGCTAGCACCAAATCCGGGATGTTATACATGTACACCAAAATACATCTTTGCTTACATTTAAGGTCGTTGCTGATTAAGAAGAGTAATGATTTGGAAAAAATATAGACTATAAATATCTATACAAAATTCTTATGCTTTAAGTTTGAGTCTAAAAGTGATGTTTGAATCATTGCATTTTGGGCTATAAAATGTTTTCTTGTTAAAAACAGAACATAAATGTGTTTCACTAGCACTTTTTCTTTAATTCTTTTACTAGCTTAAGTAAAAACTACATAAAGGGACAATGTTTATTCAATTACTTTATTAATGGTTACAATAATCAATGGATTACTCAATTACTAAAATAAATGTTTACAGCAGCCCTATTTTAAAACAAATACAACATCAACATTTGATCAAAAGACCTGGACCGATTTTTGAGCAAATACATCCTGGTTTTCTGGTAATGTGCACATGCAAACTACAACTTGAAGCATGGAAGATTTAGAGTTTCACAAGAGAGATCTGCTCTAGTCAAACCAATCTTACAAGTAATTAGACCCCTACGTGGACAACATAATACTTTTCATACGGTTGAAAAGCCTGCAAAACTGATGTGAATATGAATTGCAAAGTTCTTTTTTTTTCTCTTTATTTGGATGGATGTTAGAGTTCAGGCCGATGTCAAATGCTAATCCCCTGTGGCTCAAAGCCATGGCCGCTCCTTTTCATTAGGGTTGCAGTGACTGAGCTCTTGGAGTCTGGTGGTTAAGATAATGCTCCCCAAGTCTGGGCGCTGTATGCGTTTGTGACCAGGTCTTACCCCCAGAGATAAGGAGCCCTGGGCCACACACATTTACATCACACAGGCCATGGAAGCCACGCAAGAATCAAACACTTTAATCCAGCACCAAACAATCGAAGAACTACTTCAAAGCAGAGCAAAACAAGCTAACTTGTCCAACATTTAACGGAAAGGTTTTTTCGTTTAACAACATAAAATTGTCCCATCACTTACTATGATTTTGCTGGCAGCTGCACGCTAACCAATCAGGACTTGGATCAAGTTGAGACCTGAACTTTTTTTGTCAACAAACGAGTTGCTGAATGTTTGATTGAGCCAAGTTGATGACTATGACCTTAGTTATTAGTGCAGTGGGTTAATAGGACAGATCCATGTTATACTTAAGGCTAATGTACCACAAAGATCTTTCTCCTTGGGCTTGAGCTAAACTCAACAAAGGATTGAAGCAGTTCTGGAAGTTTGGGTCTTTGTTCAGCTACTTTTGTGCACGTTTCCACACTATGGCAATCAACTATAAATCTTTGTACTAAAATTTTACAAGCACAAATATCTGCACAAAATGCCTGTCAAAGCTCCTGAGCAAACACACACACGCATTCAAACGACACACATCTCTGCACAAAAGTCCAGAAGCCCACCACTCGACAGGAATCAGCCATCAGACAGTAGCATATTGACTCCTGAACAGGAGGTAGCCTGTTCTCTCTTCTTCCTAATTTCGGCTAATTCCCTCCATTTCCCCACCATTGATTAGTGATCAGGCCTCGTGTCTTTTGCCAAATGGGGCTACAGATGGGGGTTTGTGCATGAGTGGCTGGTGACAACATGTTCCCACAGCTCATGATCTAATCTTACTGGCATTAGGTGGAAAACTGGATGTTGTTGGAAGTGAAGCAGACAAAAAAAATTACAGTAGGCTTCTAAAAATCATTTTCTCAATCAAAAATTAGTAACAGTAACATTTTGTACAGAGTGAGTTTGAGTTGTGGCAATGAGAGACTCAACCTATACAAGGCAGCAGTTAGGACCACGGCGCTGATTAATAGAGAGCGAGATAAAGGAAACTGATGGACACCCCCCTCTTCCCTTGATGAAGTGTCGAATGCACATTTATTTTTATCTCATTGAAGCATGTGTTTCCCCCGCTGCAATCCAGAAAACCACACAGGGGCTTTCCACTAAAACCAATGTGCACGCACAGGAGCAAACCACGGCGACTACATTCGATTTATATCAGTCTAATTTCTTTAAATCCAATTTGTATTCCATTCTACTGCCTTCTAATCATGTAGACCTCGAGTCTCCATCTGCTCCAGTCTTTCCTGTGGACATGAACGCAGCAGATGCCTCTACTATTGTCCTTCCACTGCCAGGGAAAAGCCGATCTTGGTGAACAGAGGGCCCTACGTTGACGGTCAATGTCCTTGCTGAGTGGGTACAGTTTGGTGCAGAGACAGCAAAAGTCAAAAACATCCCTGTGCTAGAAAATACAGTGGTGAAACCTTCCACTGAATGTGGAAAGCAGTGCACAATTGTAGAGGGAAATATTTTTTCTAAACAAAACTCTGATTTATGCTGATGTATTTTAGGGACCTTTTTCTGGGACGAAATCGGCATCAGAAGTCAACTGGCGAGTACATAGAGCCGTGATCCCCAACCCCCGGTCCACGGCTGGTACCGGATCGTGGACCAATTGGTACCGAGCCGCGCAAGAAATAATTAAATATTTCCGTTTTATGTATTATTTGAGTCTGGAGGATCTTTTATTTTTGAAAATCCTTTAACCGGATTCTCTCGGTTACTTGCGCACCAACATTGAGGCCAGAAGCAGCAAAATGAGTAAGAAACAGATGTCTTTGGAAAGTTTCTTTGCAAAGGGGAAAAGGCCCAGAGAAGAGACAGGAGAGTGGATTTATCCCGGACCGGTAGGTGAGCCCCACATTACAAGCCCGCTCTGCGTAACATGCGGCGACCGGCTCGCTGAGGCAATGAAGCTTCAAACTGCTTCGCCACATAGAGACCAATCACGTCGTGCTCAAGCAACACACCTCGGGTGTTATTGTCTCTCGTCACTCCCTGATGGGACCGGACCGTCTCCTTGCAGAGAAACAAGCTCAGGGCTCCCGTTAGTCGTTATCGTGAGTTAAAATGTTCACGAAAGTAAAATGTTCGTTTTTGTGGCGCATCTGTATCTTATTTTGAAGGGATATATAAACGTTACCATAGCGACCAGAGTCAAAGAGCGTTTGGGCAGTGGTCGAGAGGAGATGAGTAGACCGTCTAAACCAGTCTTAAGTCTGGTTTAGACGGCAAGATTTAAGAATTGTCGGCTGATTCTCCAAACCTCTGTGACCACAGAGCTGATAAAAGTACAACAGGTTCGATCGGTTCGTGTTCAGCCACACGGCAGGAGCAACAAACCACACGAACCGATTCCAGTCACGAACATCCCGATTCTGGAGGATAATCCAGTAAAACCCCCAACATAGCGGGAATTTAGAATGACCAAACATGGATGACGATGTAGAAGCAATGGTGATAGTTTGTGGAGTCATTTTAAGAGATAAAAGAAACAAAAATAAAAGGCGGTGGATAAAAGACGACGGGAGCAGCCTTTTTCATTTTCAACTGAATAAACATATATAATAACGACCTTTACATATAA